GTAAACACTTTTGCGACGTTCTGACGGCTCATGCGTGCGTAGATGGTTGTATTCAGATGTATCGATACCATGTAGCGCAGTAACAGCAGCATCTTCTGTAACATGTGCTGAGATAAACCGAAATGAACTCTGTGCGACGTTAGCAGTATCACCCTCAGGCGGTGAGACCTCTGGATCTTGTTCATCGTCGCTCATGACTGCGGTTCAGCCATCCGTTGGTGAATGCGCCGTCTCGTGTCATACCAGGATGTCTAAAAATATCAATATTTGAGACGGCGCGAAACGAACTGATCCTTACGAACCATTTAGAGTTATCGAGATAAACGGCTTTAAAGATTGACCACTCAAAAACGTAATTAAACGAATTTTTCAGTAAAGGCGTTTTTCCAAACGGACCCATTTTTTGGTGGTGTATCTATTAGAACGAGCACGATGAGCACCAGCACAAACTCTTCTAGCACTTCGGTTGTGGCCAGCGACGCCACTACAAGAACAAACACTGCGCTTCGGCATTATGACAGGAATCTACTGGGCTCTCTTCTACCTGACCCGGACGCAACCGGCGGTGAAGGATCAGATGACAGTGTGTGGAAGCCAATATCAGGCGAATCAAGTGACGTTTCGAGTGCTGAAGACGTTGACGATGCCTTGGAGGACGCCTTACAGGATCATTCAGACGTAGAGTCTGTTGAGGACTTCTCAGTGGAGGGTAGGACCTTTGGTCTGATGACCAACTTCGGGAGCAAGTTACGAGTTTGATTCAGCAAGATCATTGCACGGAGAAGTGCCTTCAAGGCAAGGCAGCTGATCTTGAAAAATATCTGTGCTCTTTGGGGCAAATGACTACGCATGAAAAGAAGCAGAGCATCCTGACCTCGCTGGCGATGTTGATCAGACAGACACCTCAGTACGTCGTCGTGGGAGTGGTGAACGGCAAGTCTTCTCGTTTTATTTACCGCTAATAGAGCGTGTGTGTCGGGATTCATGGTGCGCCGTGTATGGGATCTCCACGGCAACAATCACGCGCTACCGACGACAGATAAAGAGAGGTGCTTTCTCCGTCAACACACACCGGGGCCAGCTCAGCATTAACGCCGCTTCGATTGACATTGGTGAACTGGTTTCGAATGTTCGCCAAGACTCTGGGAGACGTCGTCCCGGTTAGAGTTCGAGCGCAGAAGACGGTTGACGGAGCGGTCCGCAAGAAATATACTGACGAGAACTATACGCTGCTCCCTGCCTACTTCACCTGGGACCAACTCTACAATGCGATGCACAACTACGTGGCGGAGAACGACTTGAAGGTGAAAGAACCTCGACCATCAACTTCCCGACAGCTTTTACAGAAACATTGTGCCCTCATTCGAATCCGATCTCCTCGCAACAACGTGTGCGACTTCTGTTCTATATTGTACGTACGTATGCGCTCTCAGGTCACTGCAGAACTCACCGAAGAGCTTGGTGTTCACACTTCTGCAGCTAAAGCTATGAGGTTTGTACACAAGAATCATTCTGCTTCACCAAGGATTCTAAGATCATTCTGATTTACTATGAACTTTTATATGGGTTAGAGTACCAGAAAGACTTGCATGGATGTAGCTACGGACAGCACAGCCCAGCCTAAAACCTTCAAACAAACACGCAAGCGTGCCAGGAAAGAACTGTAGGCCCACAAAGGCACTAAATGTTAGCAGCAAAATGATATGATCCTTCTAGCCCGTACCCATTTGTTTTTAAAATAGGCTGTAAGTACCCAAAACAAATAAAAATATCCCCTCAAATTGGGCCCCAACTGGTAAATTGAAGCAGAAGGAAGTCGAATTAGGACGCGGGAATAGGCTCAAACGATGCGGATACGTTAACTACACAAGAAGAGTAAAAAAAAATTCTTTTGTTTGTCCTTCTGGGAGGCAACTTTTTTGGTGGACTCGAGCTCCTTCACCATTTAATTTCTTAGAAGTCTGAAGGCATCATTTGAAAGTTGAGATCCTCCTCTTTCGAATGATGTGCCTAAAACGCGATTCGTACTTAGGTTTGTAAGCGTCTTTTCGTTTCGCGCCGTCTCAATATTATTGCAACACACAGCTGTAATACATATAAACGGGACATAGTACATCAATACCACCTTTTCACTATTGAAAAGCATCCTTTTTTTAGAGGTGTTAAATTCCATCCTTTTTTGTATTGATAATAATCACTTTCAAGTTCGGATCTGAAATTGTCACATCAATTCTGCCGCAAGCATCACAAAGATCTTCCTCCACAAAAAATACACGTGTACATACGACGTCCAACAATAATACTGAATAACCCGACGATTGATGGGTGTTTATTTTTGTGACTGCCGTTCCCAAAGGGCTTTTCACGACAAATATGGTTCCACAAAATATTGACGAGGGCGCTGATGACTTCATGGAAAGTCATCCTCAAGCTCCCGCTCTCAGCATGTTGAAAGTAAACAATCGATGCCATCATTTGAAAAGGCGTGCTTGGGACACGCAGGGGCTCGTAGAGTATGAAAGCTATCAATCCCATTTGTTTTCATGACTTTCAATCTTTCTAGTTTGAACCCTCCCACTAGTCCGCTCGAATTTGTGCGTCCGGTACTACTTGTCGAAAAAATGCCAGAACCATCCCCTCCGCTCGGGTGGTCCCGTCTTTACTCCATGGAGATGCGAGAGTTCTGGACCCAGACTGTTGAGATGTCCAGCATGTAAGAGCTATTAAGAGTTAATTCCCCATACAATTTTATACACTTCTTAGATTATTAGTTTTGGGGGCTTCGGTTCTAAAGTCCAGGCACCGATTTCTAGATTTGCTCTTCTCTCAAAGAGCAAGTGAATAAGCTGCACGAAACTGGGTCGACAGCTCTAGCTTGAGGGATACACCGAAGCCAATTAAAATGTTTTAAATTATGGTCGAACTGTCTAGATCGCATCCTAGAAGTAAAGCTCTCTTTGCACATTGCAGTCGTGCCTTTTATGCCTTAATTGGAAACCAGTTGCATTAAATATGGGGAACACGTGAAGATATCACCAAAAAGAATGAAACTGGCATTTTCCCTATATATAAATATACACTGAAATTATTGGAATAAAGACGAGTAAAATTATGATAAAAACTGAAAAACAAGTTACGGCACGGGTTCTGAGAATTGTAGCACGCGATTAAGCTCATATCGAGCCAAACAATAGGTTCAACTCTCCTAAAAAAACGATTCGGAGCGGATAAAATTTGGTGACGCCAAATCAAAACGCGTCCCCGATGCTGTCGACCTCTGTCAGCTCGATCGGTTTCTCTATATTGTTTTCCTAGTTTAAAATTATTTATTTTCTTCTTTAGTGATTGATCGCTTCTCAACTGGAAATGATTCTGCAATTATGGCGAATGTTGCCACAGAGCCAAAGTTTACGTCTCTAGCTATAATGTAATTTTTATTTTTGACCTCCAACAACCGATGGACTTTATAGTTAGGTGACAGTTCGAGAAGTTTGCACAACACTGACCTGCTGCTAAACTTTTGATCCTTTCTTTTTTCATTTAAAATAACACGTAGTCCCCCCTACAAATGTTATTCTAAACTTTTAGACGTTACGTTATGGAGAATTTCATAAGAACACTTCATTCCTGATCTCATCGTGGGAAGACGGTTTGTCACAACCACCAAATACAGTAATGTCTCCGGCCACCACGTTGGTGTCATTTTGGCGCCTTTTAGAGCACAGCGGATACCAGCCATTATTGATCGGTGCGCTCTTTCTGCACCCATATTTTCTTCTAGACCGTAGATCTCTAAAATCCTTTACCATTATTGTACACAGATTTGAAACCTGTTGACTTACAAATACAATTCCACCGTTGGTTTTCATTCTTTTCTCGGTGAAAGAGAATTGTACTGACAATTTCCTTAACAGTTCCTTGATTTCGGTCGGTACTTCCTGCAAACGTTTTAGAACGATGTATTATTTGAATGCAGTAGCATCATCAACTTCCGCAAGGGTGTATGCATAGCCAAAATTACCGTATAGACCATTCACTTTTAACTTTCCGATGGTGTCCATCTGCAGCTTATGCAGTGGATCTTTAGCATTTTTCCTCGCACCATGTTCCGATTGAACAGCTTGCGGTCTTTCACCTCCGTGCATGATTGGCAGAGAAAAGGTAGGCTTTCAGCTGCGTGAAGATCGCGCTAGAGACATTACCTCTTTCTGATTGCATTTTAGTTTTAATAACTGGTCAAATCCCACATGACCCAGTCGTGAATAACATTCCTTAAAATCAAGCTCATAATTTTTCCGTGAGAGCCATTTTCTTTGTTCTTTTTGTACTCGGCAAGTAGTTTACTTCACCAATTGCAACAGCGGCAAATTTTAACTATATAGCTGCTGAACAAAATTACATGTAGTTTGAATAGATAACTTCTCACTGTAGAATGCAAACATGCGTATAGGCTTGGTTTGCGCCAGGGTTTACCAATATTTTATTGCAATTATTTAAGTAAAAACAAAGCAAAACGCTTAGTTTTCCGCAAGTCACATGATTTGTCCAACATAAATTCCACGCATACTGGTTCGTTGAAAATTCTAGAGCCAAGCATACTTACAGGGAATCGACACCAATCTTAATCCTTTTTTAAAAAATAATCCCCGATTTCGATTGTAGCCCTGCCTTGCCAAGTAATACGGGTAAAGCAAATTACTATCGCGCTGGTTGCCATATGCTTCTTCATTCCGTATTAACCCAATAAACGCGGGGAAATATTCTGTATTAGACAGAACAAGGGAATTACTTGGTTAAACTATGGCTGGAAGATCGCAACAATTTATCTGTTCCAAGCCCTTGACGTGATAGACGTTGCGAACAGACGCAAAAATGCTGCGCATGTGAACAAAGTATCTACAATGTATCCATCACGTGGAAAATCTTACGCTCGCAATTGGGCAAGTTCGCATATGGCGCGATGCGCAACCCTCTCTGTGTTGGAATCCTGCTCAAAGTGATCAGACTTCTCCAAATGCGTCGCTGCGTCGCCGTGGTTTAGCGGTGGTGAGCACGAGGTGATGGAGTGCGCTCACCAAATTTTCGACCAGTTCTAGACTTAGCAGGAAGTAGTAGGATGGAACCGGTCGAAGTTTGGTGAGCGCAAGAAGAGCGGAAGAAGTCGGCGTGTGCCAGACCTCATTCTTTCAACACCACACCAGGTTTGCTATTAGTGCATATGCTACTCGTAATCGCTGGCTTCCTCACTAAGTTCCTCCACCTTTCGCTTCCGTATGCGAATTCGCCCTTGCAGATGTGCCGGAGTAGCAGCCCACTACCCCACGATCCGTACCATATTTGGCTGCATGCCAATGTATTCCCAATTTCCGAGCGCCGAACCGTGTTACACAATGAAATATATCCTTCAAGAGCCTCCGATCATTCACGACAGTAGAACCTGCTCTCAAAGCTTTTCACCTTGGGTGGGCTCAGCGCCGAGAATTCCTTGCAGAGTTGCTGTCGGCTTTTGCTCTTCCCTTTGCTCTTGCCGGATTTAGCCTTGTATAGTTCATCAGTGCTGCGCAGCACGTGGTCAAGATTTCCGGTCGGCACACTCGCCAGATCTTCTGCGTGTCGGTTGACACGGAAGCTTATAGCGGTAACTGCAAGTAACTCCACGTGAAGCTGCCGCATGTACTCCGCGTGCGTGGGCGCACGCTTATCTTTCCGCTTCATTACTATCTTGTAAAGAGTGAAGGCATTGACGAGTGCCATATCTATGAAGGCCAGAAATATTTGGCGGTAGTATTTCTTGAATGCCACGCAACGCTGTATCGAATACCGCTGAAGACGGATCTGGTCGTGGGTGTCCACGCCACCCATTCCAGAATGGAAGTCTGGTGAGTCCCCACCTTTCACTGTATAAAGTCGCCTTGTTCAACTTCAAATCAGCTATAGCATATCAATACAGAAAAAGTTAGTCTATGGAAACTCGTATTCTGTAGACGACAGACATACCGCAATTATCTTGATCAACTCGATCCCTTTCATTTCGTCGTCGTCCTGCTGAAAATCTTCACCTTCGTCTTCAAAGTCGGAATCAGATTCGACTTCGTCCATTTTTTCCTCCAGATCAGGATCAAAGTCGCAGAAAGCAGAATTTTCCTCGTCTGAATCATTACTAACTGAGAAGGTTTCGCTCCCAACGTTATCATCGTCCAGGGCAGGAGAGGGGACTAGATTCTCCACACGCATAGTATCCATGAAGTTATCACGATCAAAGGCTGTCAGATCGTCTGGTCCATCGTCCGTCTTGGCCTCCTCGCTGACATCGGTTATGGAATCATCATCCGAAGCGATCGCTTCCGTACGAGAACTGTTACTGTGATCTGGTCGTCTAGCTGGTTCTGTACCAGACGGAGAACTGTGACCACACTGATGACATTTTTCTGTAGCCACAGGAGTAACACCGCCATGCCCACCACCTTGCTCTGTAGCCACAGGAGTAACACCGCCAGACCCACCACCTTGCTCTGTAGCCACAGGAGTTACACCGCCAGGCTCACCACCTTGTTCTGTAGCCGCATGAATTACACCGTCAGATCCTTGTGCTGCAGCCACAGGAGTAGCACCGTCAGCCCCTTGTGCTGCAGCCGCAGAAGTAACACCGCCAAATTGACCACCTAGATCTGAATGTTCGTCGCGTTCTGGTGCTGCCGTCGGTAGTTGCGCTGCGCTGCTGTGTACGCCGCTTGTTTCCCCATTGGCGGCCGCCCAACGGGTACAGGAAGCGCGTAGACGACTGGTTCTACTAAACCGGAACGACATGCGTACTACCATAGGCTTTTCATCCCTAGAAATCATGCACATTTAGTACACACATTTACCAATAGAATATACCAATCATCGTACCACAAAAGTAGTCCGCATTGACGCGATCCTTGCGAAGCTTGCCCTTCACACCAGGCTTTACGTACGTGTGCTCGACGTTCAGCCCCGTCGGCGGCCTTGCCTCCCAGCCGTCCTTTACGAGCTGACTCCACAGCTTCTTGAATTTCTTCGTATCCACACCGTCCAGCACGTCCATCTTTTAAAAAAATGAGTGGCAGCTAGGTGGGGGGGATAAAATGGTTGGGAACTGAATTTTCATACCTCTTCACCGCGTATACTGTATTTACTATGCCTGAAAACACCCGTCTATCTCACCAGCGCTGATCCTTAGTGTTAACCCCCCCCCCACCCAAATCCATACAAAACTGTATATGCGGGGAATTTACGTCATCCTCCTCGCGTATAAGCTCTCGGAATATTTACACCTGCAATATCAATTAATCTGTCGAATACAGAATCCCGCGTTAATTGGGTTAAGACTTCCTTTTTCACCGTAGATGTAATAATACTAAGCTGGACTGAGCCTATTAAAGTAGTCTGGGAGTTGGTACCATTGCTGTACGAAAATCGATGACCCTGACTTCGTCGGAGGCCCGTCAGCAACCCTCTATTAGGGATCACAACATGACTAGCCCCTCTCGTTCAATCCTGTGCAATCCATTGGCGATTCGCCTACTTCGTCACTCATGGGCACGTTACCTTCATCGTGGCAAACAAGATCTTTGCTTTCGGCATTGTCCTCTTTGCCCATGCTATCCTCACTCTGCGTTCGTCAGTAATTTACTACACGCTTTTCGGCATCGGACACACGGCTTTCATCGTAAGAATTGCAGTATATTTCCCCTTGTAGCACCTGGAGCTGTCTTGATGTCCGTCTTATATACAGAACCGCCTTCTCTTTGCTTATCCTGACTCCGAGGCTTCGTAGGACTGGCGTCCTTGAGAAGCCTCTTTTCGAAGCAATAGCGGCACTCGCCCTCTAGTGTTGCGCCACATTTCCCTTTTTCACTTTTTGGGTACGGACATTGTTGATTGGGATGGCCGAGCATTTGCCCATATGGATTGTTTTTTTTTTCTAAAACAAAATACGGCGAAAATCGTTTTCAGCCTTCTCAACAGTGAGCTCGCCTTTATAAATACTGAAATCGACGAGGCCTAAAAATCATTTGGCACTTAGGACAAGACTTCTACACACAACCATGCCCCAGCGACCATGTCCTATCCAAAAAGGATTTGGGTTTTTCGGTTCATTTCATATCGGTCTTTCTCAATTTGCCCAAAAGTAATCCTAAGTCATACATTTGAGTCTTGGTCGGTTTGGACCAGGTATGTGTCCGACCGATCAGCCCGGCCGCATCACCTTGACCATTAGTCTTTTTCAAGGAATTTGATCACGTCGCATGTCTCCATTCCGAGACCAAATCCGGTAGAAATTAGAAAGGACCTGCTTGAGTAGGTTCTGCATGACTCCTCTTGCCCTTTCCCAGCCCATCACTTCCCATCGCACTGCCAACCATTCATTCTCAGACAGTCGACTTCCTTCAAGAGTTGACGGTGGCTTTTCCCTGCAGGAAGTCCGACATCAGCACACGCACTTCTGACAGTCCATTTTCCAACTGCTTGCGATAATAGATTTGATCTTGGGAGTTGAAGCGGGTTAGCGAGTGATCTTTCCGCATAGCGTGCCCCTTGCCGCTAAATTGCTCGAGGTCGCTAGTGTTCTTTCCTTCGGTCGTTGGTTTTGTACTTGAAATGTTAGATGGGGTTAACTACCGGCGGCTCGGAAAGTGAGATGATCTCAAACCATCACCTCCATCACATCCCTCGGCTCTACTCGCTGATGGACACAGCGCCCGCTTTCTCCTTTAGGTAGTAGTGATGGCTGCTCATTATTAGCCAACAATGACAACGTAATAATCTTTATAGCTGACACATTCCTTTTCTGTCACAGCATGAAGCTAACATGTATGTAAATATGGCATAATAGGACTATTAACAATGCAGGAGCCGTTTAGCACAAGCTGAGTAAAAACGTTTATCATCCATCTTTCGAACCACATAAGTGTTTTGGATAAACACTACTTTTGTCATTAGTTTTGCAGTCCAGCGAGTCCATCACGGCAGTTGTAAAGAAGCTCACTCGTCAATATTACGTGAAGTAGACAGTTCTCGGGAAGAACCAGGGGTAGCCCCAGAGAGGGTAGAGACCACCCCGGTTCTCGGGCTTCTTACGACAAGTCATGAAGTCCTTAAGAGGAATACGATGTGGCGCGAGAAGCAAATACCGAGCCGCCTCCAAGTTGTCAGCAAACAACTGCTCCTTCTGGACAAGGGTACGTTCGTAAACGCCCCTAGAGGTGTGGCCGCCAACAAAGCCACAAGGAGCGACGAGAATCTCCAGGAAGAGGTCAGCCCCAGAGCTCTCCTCGGGAGGTCAATGCCCTCTTAAGTTGATGGCAGCTTCCTGGCTGACGGGTGCGACCAACGGACCCCCACGCGTAGGCTGGGAGGCTTGGAAGTTCTCCTGTTGCTGGTCGAGGTCGTTAGTGATCTCCGAGGGGGCTCAGGAATAGCACCCTCTTCCTCCTCCTCCTCGTCCTCCTCATCCGAGGAGCTGATGAGGCTCCTATGGGAGTACCCAAGACATTTTCTCCTCGCGAAGTGGAGACTTCGAAGCCGTACGCTTCTTAGAGGGCTTGGTGTCTTCGGCTTTCGCGGCCTTAGCGGCCTTAGCACGCGCAAGACCCTTGGCAAGCGAAAGACGTTTGCGAGGTTTCCCCTCGTCGCCGCTAGCTTTGGGAGTGCCCATAGCCTTGACGGCTGGACTCTCAGAGCGCACATACGTCCTGGGACTGTGATCTCCGTGATCACTAGCGAGCGACTGCAAGCTGTCGTCTTTGTGCTCGCTGGGCACTAAGCTATGCCCTCCCGTAGAGCCCACAGGAGCATCATGCGTGCTCCCGGACTCGGCTTCGTCCTCACTGCCCGAGTCGAACTCACGTTCAGCGAACCGAGGGTTCGGACGGTTGTCTGGGGAGGTCGAGGGTGACGGACTGCGGCGCTTGCTCGCACTCTTTTTTACAGCCGCGTCACCAGTTGAGCCGATCGCTTCGGAGGCCACCTTAATAGCTCCCTGGAGTGCCGAGCCTTTGCCGTGAGGCTAACTGCTCTTGGCTTGCGCCTTTCCGGCAGCAGCCCTGGAGCGTGTCTTCGCACCGATCTCCGCAGTGCCACGGGGCATGATGACGGTCGACGTGGGGACCAAGAAGAAGAGCGCTCAACCGCTGCTCGAGGCTGTAACTGTGAAGTGAGCCTCCGCCGCGCTCGCGCGGCCAAGCCGATGTTTTTCGACTTTGAGAATGAAAGTTTGTGACGTACACTTCTTCATTCTGATTGGTCGGTAAACCGAACCTAAGTGGGGGAGGATGTAATGGGGTACGTAGCCCTAAGTGTACCCTTAGTTACATGAAGTGTGACACGTCATACTTCGGGATATTTGTTACAAGGTACCAAGGTCGTCCAAGGTCAACCATTGGCTGATGACATAGCTTTTCTATAGGTGACTTATAGTTTGTATATTTAACTCAAGCTTAGCCTACCTATAAATGTACTCAGTTTACAATCTACCTTAAATTGGTCACCTCGCCCCCTCTAGGTAAAAGGGACCTGTGAACTGCCGTTCACTGAGAGTTTGTAAACTCTCGGAAGCCAACTTCCTCTAGCGCAAGGTGCTGTGTGACCCCGTCACAGTACCACTTCTTTTAACTAATAAGATGTCGATATAATTTTATTCCTGGGCACTAATAATAAAATTATTACTACATTTTGGTACTGTACGTTAAAATCCAGCCACGGCTTTGTATTAATAGGTTGAAAAAGGGAAAAGTGGACCCACGTCAGAAATCGACTGGCGATTGCTCATTTGGGCAATCTTTGGTGTAGGGTGGAACATCATCGAGCTGACAAGGACCCAAATCAGAAAACTTAAATCGTACAGGACATGTTTTAATATCTAGCTTTTAGAACTGGTAAGCAAACAATAACACACTCTGCCAGATTTACTTCACTCTATTCTGCAGCCAAAAAGCTGTCTAACTGCGACATGGATTACGCCACATTCCCAATTCTTCATTCCCACTACCCATTTCAGCAAATGCACCATTTTCGCAAGTCCGCTCGCATCGTCAGTATCAAAACGAACCTTCAGTATCGATGCCCAAGTTCTGTGCCGAGTGTGGCGCCCAGAACACAGGCGGCAAGTTCTGCTCCGAGTGCGGCGCGCGCTACGCTGATGATAACGGCTCGCTGTCGTCTTCGTTCATGTCCAATTCCTCCGGTGCTCCCCCCGCTGTGCCAGTTGCTGCCTATCAGGGGGCTGCCACAGCCGTGGCCTCCGCTTTCCGCAGTGAAAATTCTCCGTACGGTGGCAACACATTCCAACACCCGCTTAAGAGCACATTCAATGGGTCCCAGCCTCCCCCTCCCCCTCCTCCGCCTCCTGCGCAGCCATACGTGCGCAAATCCGTGCCCAGCGCCTTCCGCAACAGCTTCAACAACAACAATTCGCCTCCTACTGCCATCCCAGTGCCTTCAGACCCAGTGCCACCTGCAGCTACGGGGGCAGAGGCCCAACAGTACTATGAGCGCTGCGTAAGCACCATCCGCGCCTCCAAAGGAGGAAATAACGAGCGAGGGGTGAAGGATTTTAAGCAAAACTGCCGTCGATACGGACTTAAGGAGATGGACGTGCAGTCTTTCTATACGTCGCTTGTGTCTGAGCTGGGAGCTGACGGTACTCGAAGCTTCGTGCCGACATTAGCGCGACTGGTACCTGACGACGATCGGCGGAAGGAACTCGTGGATTACAACGCGCAACAGCGAGCGTCATCAGCCTTTAGCAGCAGTGGCAGTAGCATGGGGAGCTTCGACGGCAGGCAATCGGCTTTTGGCAACCGAAATCCGAGCATGGCTGACTCGTTCCGAAGTGACTCGACTGTGAACAATGCCAACAATGGCACACAGAGCAAAGGGCTCTTGAACAATCGCTATGCAGACCACCCGAACTGCGACGTGTGCAATGTGCGCTTTGATGTGACCAAGAGACGCCACCAATGGTAAGAACTGTGACATTTAATTTCTATGTTTTTATTTTTACTGACATTTTTTTAAAAAAAAAAAGTCGGGCTTGTGGACTTTTCGTATGCAGTTCGTGCTCTCCTGTCCGACTATTGGTGCCCCCTGGGAAACAGATCGAAGGAGCCAAGAACTACGATCCGTCCATCCCACAGCGCGTGTGCATCCAGTGTGCCCCGGAGCTGCATCCGCTCCAAGACGAATTGGTGGCGACGTATTCACAGTCACAGGCCGACAATACTCACGAAGCACGTGGCCGATTCCACATTCCATTCTCGAGTTCTCTGAATAAGGAGTGCTGCAATGCTGCTGATATTATCGGCAATTTCTTCCGCAACGACTGGGGGTCGTCAGCAGACAGAGCAGTTCCTGTGGCTTTCCTGCAGAAGGCCCACGGTCTCGCCATTATGACGGTTATAAAGGCCGGTTTCCTCGTCTCGGGTAAGATCGGCACGGGTCTCGTAGTCGCCAAGCTGCCGGATGGCTCGTGGTCAGCTCCGTCAGCCATTGGAACATTCGGACTTAGCGGGGGATTCGAACTGGGAGGTGAAATCGTGGAAGTGATGATCATTCTCGGGTCGGAAGGAGCTGTCAAGGTGTTCCACAAGCCACAGGTAAATCTTGGCGCTGGACTGGATATTACAGTGGGGCCTTACGGTCGGTCAGCTCAAGCAGCTGCTGCCGCCAGCACGAGCGGCCTGAACGCCAATTACAGTTATTCACAGAGCAAGGGACTGTTTGCGGGCATTTCGTTGCAGGGAGCGATTCTGGCTGCACGCTCGGACTTGAACCGCAAGTTTTACGGTCGTGACTTGCAGCCGGGTGAGCTGCTGAGCGGGTTCATAGAGCAGCCTGCAGCTGCTCGTCCACTGTATGAGGCGATTGACAACGCCATGCGAGGAATCGAAGACCACAAGGAAGAGCAACAACGGCGCTCGTCTCTAATGGGACCTTGCAGACTGTGCAATTGCCCCATATTCCAGGCTCACACGACTCAGATATGGAACAAAAAGTGCAAAACATGCAGCCACGCGCATTAAGAAGATTGGGGGTAACCTAAGACACAAAAGATGCCCTGAAGTTAATGCAACTCCTATAAAATCAAACTGTTGCAAATGTTTGGCACTTGTGGAAGCAAAGTTTCACAAAAAGTCAAGTCCCCCTCCGAAATGCAACATACTATCCTACTACTGTACTAGCAGTATTAATACCTCTGCTCGGAAAATAAATCACCTTTTTAAAAAAAATTCACAGCGCTCGGCCTCGTTGTTTTTCATGATTATAAAGTTGAGAAAACGATACACGTAATTTAATTGTAAAAATACTTCACTACATATTTTCAAGCAGTGTAGTATCCCGGCGTCAAATATACCGACCGGACCCCCTCGCAGCGTTTTGACAATGGTAACCATATACTGCAAGCAGCGCATGGTGCAGGAACAAGGATCTGACGTAAGAATTGCTTTAACCCCTTGGACGCTTAGCTGTACAGGCAAGGATCAAAGTAAAAGTGTACCGAAGCGAGTTGGATTCGGATGCGATAACTCGTCATCCTCACCTTCACTCTCCTCCCTTTCGTCGACGAAGTTACTCCAAGGTCCACGAGCACTGTTGTCTCGTCCTCAAATTCCAACAAATCTATTAATAACTTCAAAACGAAAAGAAAATTGCGATCAAAATTGTGTTTTATTAAATGCGTACTGAACCGGTGATCATTATTGTGATCATTGATAAGTTGTGCATCGCTACTTTTTATCCAACAAAAATGAGCAGCGGTTTGGCGGTTTTGGGATCTTTCACGAGTTCTTCCTCATACTTTGGGTTCTTTTTAACATGGAGAACTTGACCAGGACCAGCCGCCCCCTCCAGCAACTTCACCGCCATCGGGTTGAGTAGATTCTGCTGAATCAGCCTCTTGAGCGGACGCGCGCCATAGAGCGGACTGTATCCAGCTTCCGCCAGCCACTCCTCCGCCTCCGGGTCGACGTTCATCGTCAGCTCCTTCTCTTCCAGCAGTTGATCCACTTCACGCAACTGCAAATCTGCAATCGCGCGAATGTCATCGCGCTTCAGACGGTTAAATAGTACCAGCTCGTCAATTCGGTTGAGAAATTCCGGTGCGTAATGGGAGCGCACAACGATCAACACTTCAGCTTCCGCCATGGAACTCGGGGCATCTTCAGGCAGGTTCACGAGAAGGTCCGAACCCAGATTGCTCGTGAGGATAATAACCGTGTTGCGGAAGTCAACTAGGCGACCCTGAGAGTCAGTCAGACGACCTTCGTCAAGCACTTGGAGCAGAATGTTGCTCACATCGTGGTGAGCCTTCTCGAACTCGTCGAACAGCACCACCTGGTAGGGCCTTCGACGCACAGCTTCCGTTAGCTGACCGCCCTCCTCGAAGCCCACATAGCCAGGGGCAGCGCCCACTAGACGACTCACGTTGAACTTTTCCATGTACTCGGACATGTCGATGCGCGTCAACGCCTGCGGAGTCTGGAAGAGAAACTCCGATAGAGACTTAGTCAACTCCGTCTTGCCCACACCAGTAGGACCCAGGAACATGAAGACGCCTAGCGGACGGTTGTGAGCGTGCAGGCCAGCGCGTGCGAGACGAACGCAGTTGCTCACCGCCTTGACAGCTTCTTCCTGGCCGATCACGTGTTGATTGAGGTGATCTTCCATCTTAAGCAGACGTTGCTTCTCTCCCTCCATCAGCGTCGACGCCGGGATTCCCGTGGTCTGCGCCACTACTTCCGCTACGTGGTCAGCCGTCACTGCGTCTCCGAGGGAAGTTCTGCTGGCCTTCTTCTTGATCTCCTCTTCCTCCTGCTCTTCATGCGCCACTTCGGCCTCCAGCTTTGGGATGACAGAGTGCAGCAACTCTCCGGCACGCGAATAGTTGCCAGCATTCTGTGCCGCCATCAGGTCCCGTCGAGCTTCTTCCAACTTGCGTTTGGCTTCCTGCATCTCTTCCAGTTTGTGTCTCTCCGAGTTCCACTCGTCCATCAACACGCGCAACTCGCTCGACGCCTTGTCCACTTCTTCCTCCAACGCAGCCATCCGTTTCTTCGACGACGCGTCGGTCTCCTTACGTAGCGCCTCAATCTCAATGCGACGCAAGATGATCTCGCGGTCCAGCTTCTCAATGGGCTCTGGCTTGCTCTCCTGTTGCAGTCGCAGTCTCGACGCCGCCTCGTCCATCAAGTCGATGGCCTTGTCGGGCATCTTCCTCTCCGTCAAGTAGCGATTCGCAAGAGTTGCAGCTGCGACCAGAGCACTGTCGGCGATTCGCACGCCGTGATGCACTTCGTACTTCTCCTTCAGCCCACGTAGAATTGTGATGGTGTCGTCCACACTAGGCTCGGAGATTACCACGGGCTGGAACCTTCGGGCCAGGGCCGCGTCTTTTTCAATGTATTTCCTGTACTCGTCCAACGTGGTGGCGCCCATACAGTGTAGCGCACCTCTGGCCAGTGCCGGCTTGAGCATATTGGCGGCGTCAGTGGACCCTTCGTTGCCTCCAGCCCCCACCAGAGTGTGCAGCTCATCGATGAACAAAATGACGTTGCCGTCACTCTCGTCCACGTCTTTCAACACGGCTTTGAGTCGCTCTTCGAATTCACCTCGGAATTTGGCCCCAGCTACGAGTGCTGCCAGGTCCAGAGCGACCACTTTCTTGTCTTTCAAGCTGTCAGGCACCTCACCGAGTGCAATACGCTGTGCCAGGCCCTCGGCCACTGCGGTCTTGCCAACACCAGGCTCTCCGATCAGAATTGGATTGTTCTTGGTACGACGCGACAGGATCTGCGTGGCGCGGCGGATAGAGTCTTCTCGGCCAATCACAGGGTCCAGATTTCCAGCTTTGGCGACCTCCGTAAGATCGCGCCCGTATTTCTTGAGACTTTTGCCCTGCGGAACGTTCTGCGGGTTGATCCACGTCTGCGGCTGGCCCATGGACGCCAAGCCACGACGGGCTAAGTAGAGAGCAGGCGGCTGCGTACATAGCGGCAAGCGACGAGCTACTACAGCGCGGGATAGCGCTAGCATTATGTAGTGTCTTGCTCAGAGTGGTCTTCGAGTTGAATATGAGTTGCTACCTTCGTGGCAATTTGAAAACTGGAATTGTTTTCACTTGAAGAGATGAGTTGGAGCCAATCGCGTTCCAGAATGTTGAGTAGGAGCCAATCACGCTCCAGAATGTTCGCGAATTGTCAGCATTAGGGGTTAATAGAGATCGCTATGAATTTCCTATGCAAAATAATCTATGCTTATTCAGGGGGACTTATGTACTCGCCAGTCAATACTGAAGGGCGCTAATGGTAACCTAATATCATATGACATTTTTCATAGTAGTAGTAGTATTTTAGAAATAAAATATCAATAGTAGCTCATTTTTCGAAACTTAACATAATAATTAAATATTAACTCTAAGATTTGATAAATATTAGATACTTGGTGATATTTTATGATATTTCCAACTTAAGTACGTTTCTTGCCACCTTGAATGAACCGAGGGCTCACCAATAAACTCTTTTGGTCAGGTTCTAGAACAGCAGTACTTAAGTGATGACAAGCATTAAAACTGACGAGTATTCGCTCTAGTATTTCACTGTGACACAGACAAAGCCGATCGAGAGAGTGACGGCAAGGTTGGCGTCGTGTGTTGACACTGCTGAGCGCATTAATCTAGCTTTACAGGTTACAGGTTTATTCGACGTACGATATGGACGAGGTTATCGGCAGAGAACAAGAAAAAATACCTTGATTCGCTCAATTGACTTCAAACAACTGCAACCGTTTGCAGTTTTCCATCTCAATTGTCGAGCTTTTCCCAAAACCAGTACCATATGTGAGCTCAAATCCCGTAATCAGTACCTTTCCCAAAACCAGTACCAGTACCCACACAAAAACTAAGCCGCGCGTGCGCGGGCGAGCTCTGAAATTTACGCTAGCGTTGTTAGTAAATAATGACTCGTGATAAGTTGTGCGCGCGTGCAACTGAATGTCCATAATCTCGCTGTTTTGAGAGGCTTCTGAAAAAAAGAAGATGAAGATGACTGCATGAAGAAGCAGTATGTGGAGAAATATGCTAATATAATGGCGTATGAGCTGTGTAGAGTTGCAGGGGCATTAAAAAACTGTGGATCTGATGGAAATGTAAGCTCTACTACTGATAGCGAGAGTGCAACTTCTGCGTCGCGACGTCCAAACGCCAATGAGTACATGCGAGCGTAAATGAAGTCAAAAAGGATGGAGTGGACCTCTTAGACGAACAACAGGGATCCAAAAAACTTGATGCAGCTTTTGAATGCTAGTAGTGGCTGTTGTAGCACCAAGAGTAGTAAAACATCATGAACGGCATGGCTAATCTAACTTGTGCGCCATTATAATCGGTAAGAACGTAAATATTCTTTTACCAGTTATAAGAATTGGCCATAATTATCGTTAGTGATCATACCCTTTTTATCTTTCGCATTATGCATTGTAGTGCTACTGGATAGTACGGAGTTGATGGCGCTCATCACAATTGCGCTCTAGATTCTTAAGTCGCTGCGTTTCATTCAAAACAGCCTGACTTGGAACAAAGTAGCGCAAATTATCCAAAGAAAGCCGTTCTGTAAGAAACATTTGAGAGCGTGTCCTTACTCGTGTCACTGCCACGTAAAACGAGGAACGTTGTGGCTGTTTTCGTGTGTGGTGACGCATTGGACCAACAATTAGCTTCTGAACAATGAGACCTTGAAACAAATGGTGCTTGAAGCATTTTAATGGTAAATGAACGGTCTGGTAGAGTAATGGAGATCCCAGGTTTTTCACGTGCTTGTACGGGGACAATTCCTGGTGCAAGTCCGTCCACTATTGATCGCGATTTGTCGTATTCCAGTAGTTGAATAAAGACGATGGTGGGGGGGGGTCGTGTGAAGAAGACACACACTTAAGCTGAAGTCCTGACCGTCAATTTTAATCTTTCGCGTCGTCAATCGAGTCGTGTCATGTTGGTCGGGTTGGATATTGATAACGTGACCGATTGTACCATTGGCTAGCTCCAGTGCTCGACTCACATTTATAGTGCACTGGACTGGCATCCCAACTGCTAGATTCAACACAATGGCCATATTACCAGTTTTGTCGTCACGAATATTCTTTAAGCTACTTTGTTGAAATCGGGATATCTGGAAACGAGACTTCGAAATAATGGCGGGGTACTGATGCAAGGTTTTGGACTGTCGACAACAAAAACATTCTGCCGATTGATCATTCAATTCACAACGAAGCGTGTTCAAAGTGACGATAATCGGACAGAGCGATTTAGTATCCATTGCAGACGACTTCCAGTTATCATTGTAGCATTGGTTATTCACGTAATCGATGTCGTCTTCAGTGTAATTCCCATATCTCCATCTCTCGAGAATTTCGGCCCATTTTGGGTCTGCTCGATGTCTCATGTTTTCCTCAAGAAAAACTACCTCGTTTATCTGTTGGTAAGCCTGAATTCCGCGTATTCTCTCAAAATAGGTGGTGGTGTTGTTTCTTGAGGTCGGGTTAGATGTAGGCTGTGGGGGATGGTCGACAAACGCCGGAACACCAGCAACTGGGAGTTGTTGAAGCTAATCGCCCACAAATAGTACGTGAATTCCACCAAAAAATACATCCGGTTTCTGTTTTAAGTCACGCAGTTAATAAACTTAACATCTGTAGTCGATGTTTAATCCATAATAAGCATCATTAGCCGCGCAAATCGCTCTCGCTGTTGAATACTGTATCGCTTTGACGTCATGTTCGTGTTTATCCCCCATTGAAAAAGCTTATGGATGGTCTGTCCATTTGCAGCCTTCGCAGCAACACCCTGATATGCCACTGTTTCAACTGCATCTGAGCTTTCCCAAGATTTTGCAAGTGCTTGGAGAGCTTCAATTACTACGCTTTTCCCTGTTCCTGGGGAACCGCCTAAAAACCCAATCATTTGATCCACGTTGTCACAACTTGCGGCTGTCAATGACTGCAATAATCTTGAGCCAGCGCGAGCAAACATTTTGTGTTGCTTACGGCTCAGTTGAAAACAAACTGACACCTGATGCGTTCGCGTGGAGTATTGTATTTCCAATACTTCCGGTGTCAAAAGGATTCGGCCAAGAATCATCATTCTCACCATTATTAAAAATCATTCGTACGCGAGTGGGATTATCAGAGCATTGCACGAGTGTCTCGTCATTCAATGCAGGCAATGTTGATTTTTCTTCAGCCATTGCAATTCGTGACCTCCATTCATCGTCAGAAAGCTGTGGTATCGCCAGATTATCCTGCTTAAAAGTGAGACAGCTCGAGCTTGCTGCAAGCATCGATGACTTTTCCCCTAACTCTAGTAGTGATATATTTTTTGTAGTAGGCGATGCCGAAAAATAATCTTCTGGGATGTCATCACTTGAGCCATCAACACAAATTGCTTCTTCAGCTTGCTCCGACGCACCGTAGTTGCTGCCGTCGTCTGAGTAATCACCTCCATCCACCATAGCTCTAAATTGCTCCATATTGGCATCTGACCGTTTCCTCGCTAATTCTCGCGACGTATAGTAATCGTTGGAGTTCTGTAAGAGCTGACGGGCAATTTCAGGTGTTTCATCTCTCCACCATTTTACATAGAAATCGCTGAGGTTTTGCTTTGGAAAATCCCCACGTCGTCGGAACGGCTTAAACAGTACCAATTAAGATTGTTGAAGCGTAAGTTGTGCCTCGAGCTCCACGTTGTCCGATCGAGCATCCGGTAATCGTTTTCAATGAGGGTAGCGACTGCAGGAAATTTATTCTGTGTAAACTATGAGTAGTAGCTTGACGGTGATTGGAACTCCACTTGCATTATTCTCCTTTTCCAATATTTTGTGAAGTCCATGAGAGACGCCATCTCAAGCACATCGGGTCGATATATATAGTCAAAAACGGCGCTCGTTGGCTTGAACGTCATCGTCGAGCTACTACATCTCAACATTACGTCACAGGATTCCTCAGTAAAAATGAATTTCACAAACGCGCTCAGAAACACTTTCACGAATTCGGTAGACGTGTAAAACGGGGAAGCACGAATAACAAAGAGTGCTGCCAATGGGGTGGCAGCTTCTTGTGGTTTTGAAAGGGAACAACACATTGATTGTATACATCGTTTGCCCGCTTCAATCTCCGATTCCGACGGGGCCCTCTTTGACGCAGCCTTGTCAAATGCATGCATGTAAATTGCCAGGGGGTTTTCCAGTGTGTTTTGTTCTTTGGTTGTGTACTTGAGCATATAGAACGCTTTTTCTGGACCTTCTCCGGCTGTAAGAAGCTTTAAGTCATGATTGCACTTAAAGCTTTTCGCCAGGACAGGAGAGTAGGTATTAAGATATTCACATCCAATACGACGCTCTGTTTCCACTAAACCATCAGCCAGCCATCGTGTCGACGGGGAGGTGGGTTTTGGGAAGAACATCCGGCATATAGTAGCTTTTGGTGTACGCCGAGTTTTCTTGAAGCAAGAGCGGCGGTGAAACCAGTCATGAGTTTGAAAGTAAAGTAATGCTGCTGATTCTCTTAGCAAACACACTACTTCTTGTCCGACTGGGGGGAAAGAGGCAGCGGATGAGGATGAGCCAAATATAGGCGTACCATTTCAGAGCACCATTCAGTATCGGGCGCAGAACGTTTTCTTGCTAATCGCTTCATTTGGCCTTCAATCACCTCATTCGCTCCGAAAAACGACTGGCACGATACGCATTTTGAAGTTGTTGTTCTCGAAGCCCCACTTCGAGCCTTTTTAAATGCCTCCTCGCACATTTCACGTGAACTAAGTTGGATTTCCCCACATTGCGGGCAAACATCATTCGTAACGGGAAATGTTGCTTTCGTTATCGATGCAACATACGCAAGAACACGATTGCGAAAGTCCAAGCACTTGCACGATTCATAATACTCATCAACGGTTTGGGGCATACCTTCAATCCAGACCAGCAT